TGTTTTGAAGACCAATCAAGAACAATAGAGCATTTCAGAGAATTATTTTATCTGACTTTGTATAGTTGGTTTATACCGCAACTGGTAATCCTATAGAGGGGTTGCCTAACTTTATGTATTTTTTTTCTTGTATAAGTTGATAATAAACTTCTTGTGTATTTTTCTTTGATGAATAAAATTATTGGATTATCTATTAAAAAAAAAAAAAAACTACTTTTAAAGATCTCTTTCTTCATTTGCTTTTTAAGTCAGTTCTCTGAACTCCTAACTGGCTTTGTAACTTCTGATTCATCAAGTTCTCTGCTCCTGAACCTCTCTGCCTTTTTTTTTTGTTCCCAAATCTTCTTTTTTTTTTTTTGATAGATGTTCCCAAATCTTCTATATTGAGTTTTGCTATGGAAAATGACTGTTATGTACTCATTTCACAGAGATCATATGTTTTTAAGACTTTCTCTTGCTTCCCTTTTTTCTTGCCCTCTTTTCCTGGCTTTCTTTTTCTCATCACACTGGTGTGATCTGTTTGCTTTACAGCCAATCAAACTTGAGTTTGAGAAGGTTTACTATCCCTATCTATTGATTAGTAAGAAGAGGTATGCTGGTCTCTACTGGACAAACCCAAACAAATTTGACAAAATGGACACCAAAGGTGAGCCAGGCTTCCGACCTTTCCATGGGATTTTCATGTTATTGTGCTTATTCTGTTTTGTCTCCGTTAGTTAAGTCAGAATACCATACTTTTAACTAATTTATTAGGATTATCTGTTTTTATTCCCTTTTGATTTTGAGTTTCTCTTTTAATAGGGATTGAAACAGTTCGAAGAGATAATTGTTTGCTGGTAAAAAACCTGGTAAATGAATGCCTTCACAAAATACTCATAGACAGAGATATTCCTGGCGCTGTTCAGTATGTCAAAAACACTATCTCAGATCTTCTTATGAATCGCATGGATTTATCTCTTTTAGTTATTACTAAGGTAGGAAACTAGCTTCAATTAAAATTATTGGCTGCTTGTTAAGTCTCCATTTTGTTGCACTAACATTTCCAGCTTGATAGGGTCTTACAAAAACAGGAGATGATTATGAAGTTAAAGCAGCACATGTTGAGCTTGCAGAACGGATGCGCAAGGTCAAAAGAGTTCATTTCTTAGATTATTATTTTCATAACACTGTTACTGAAAAACGTGAATTTATCTGTTGCGGCAAACACAGCAAATATTCAACGAAATATTACACTTTGTTAGCTTGCATTTTTATCTGTCTAGGATAAAATATATGGTGGTTGAGGGGATAATAGCTTTCAATGTTAAAATCGTCTGCTTCCTTCACTGTCAAAACTGATTTAGTGGAGAACACTTTGATACATTTTTCAACACGTCAAACTTGTACTTCAAATTTAAAACAAGAAATTGAATTTGTCATGTTCAACTTTGAGAGATGCCTGGAATACAATATGGGAAGCATGACATTGCAGTACAATATTCCTTTACCAAATGCCATATAATGTTCTCATTTTTTAGATGCTAATTGCAGTTCCACGTACTTGCCAACAATACCAGAGTTTCATGTTATTATTATTATTATTTTTATATATATTCTTATTTTGGGGTGGGGCCGTGGGGGGACCAAAAACTGAGGTTAGTAAACTAGAAGATGTTGAAATATGGAGTTTCTAACAGATTCCTCAGCATATCTTTTCGCTTGGCTGAAATGCTTCATATGTAATATACTGCAAAGTGCAACTTTTGCAAAACTGTTGGATCTTTTTCATTCGACTATGATCCTGATAAAAATTCTCTTATAGCATGTATGTCCTACCCTTCCTCTCAATTCTGCTGATATATTCTCTCTACTGGTGTACCTTCTTCTTCGACTGCGGATCTACTATTTATGTTAAAAAGCAATTGGTGTGGTAGCTAAACAGAGTCCTAGAAGAAATATATCCAATTTAACTATTACCATAGGCCTACCTCATTGAGCAGGCTTTTTGGTCATATTGTTTCTCTTGTATGTCGTAATATGCACTCTATTCAGCATCATTTTATGGAGATAACTGTTGTTTCTTCAGTATCTTGTGTCAGGGGTCTTTAGATAAGTTTAGTAGTCAATAACAATTTAGTGTCGATGGTTTTATAAAAACGTTTTCATTAAGAAAAGATTGAAACTCCTTGTGACTTTAATTTATGGACTGATAGTTAAATTTTTGCTGCTCCATCCACAGTAGTTTTAATAATAAGAATATTATGACTATTTTTTATCAACAGCGAGATGCTGCTACTGCTCCAAATGTTGGGGATCGAGTGCCCTATGTCATAATTAAAGCTGCGAAAGGTGCCAAGGTAATCCTTTTCGTTAACATTTTCGGTGATAACTTCATTGCACTTGATATGCTTGTTCACATTGCAAGATTAACTGATGACAAACAGGCTTACGAAAGATCAGAGGATCCCATTTATGTGTTAGAACACAACATACCTATAGACCCTCACTATTACCTCGACAATCAAATTAGCAAGGTTGGTGAGGCAATTTATGCTGTTATTTTTGGTTTACTCGTACTCCTTCCATGCTATCAATAATACTGTTATTTGCAGCCACTTCTAAGGATCTTTGAACCCATCTTGAAGAATGCTAGTAAAGAGCTTCTCCAAGGGAGTCACACAAGATCCATTTCTATTTCTACTCCTTCAAACAGTGGCATTATGAGATTCGCTAAAAAACAACTGACTTGCATTGGATGCAAAGCTTTAATCAGGTAGAGAACATTGCCTGTTTAACACTCAAGCTTCTCATTAGATTCAAAATACCGTAGATTCTTTCTTTGATGTGTAGTTTCCTACTTTTCGTAATCAGAGCTTTAAAAGTGCACATGTTAAATTGACTGGTTCACGGGTATGGTGGACAGCAATATTTTGAAAAATTAAATTGACTCGTTCATGGGTATTGTGTACAGCAATATTCCGAAAAAGCCATGCATTTAAAAGAAATCTTGCAGTTGTGCATTTATTTTTCAACTACTTTCATTTCATTTTTTGTCCCTTAAAAAAGAGAAGGAAAACAACCCACCAAAATGAATGATAGATAAAAAAAAATGAAAAATAAAAAAAGAAGACAAAATAGTAGCACCAATAATTGGGCTAATAATTCTGTAAGTGTATTGACAATTCTTATGCCTTCAACCAGCAACTCAGATCATACTCTCTGCCCGCACTGCAAAGGAAGAGAGGCTGAACTTTACTGCAAGTCTATAGCTAATGGTATGCAAGAAATTCCTTTACTTTTCTAGTGTATTGGCATAATGTCAAAGAACTTACAAACTGTTTTTTTAAGTTGCTGAGTTAGAGCAGCTCTTCGGGAGGCTATGGACACAATGCCAGGAGTGCCAAGGCTCTCTTCACCAGGATGTGTTGTGCACTAGGTTAGATGTGTGATCTATCAACTTGGTTTTGTATATGTGCTTATATTGAGTTATATTTTGTTTGCAAATTTTTTACATTATATTGAGCCGTCACTAGAAATGAGGTACTAATCCATGTTGTCTAGTCTATATTATATCCTTGCGCTTGTAACTTAAAAGAAAAGGAGGGGGCAAGAGTTAATACAAGAGAGAACCAAAGAAAGGACATGTATGGTATTTCGAGTTTGAACTTCCGACTGTGGGTTGGTTTCCCCTTGTTTGCCTATGAAACTATTGGCATGTTTGTGCACGTCCTAATCTCCACGTGCGTAGTTCCCCGAGTACCCAACTATGGCCACTGGTTTTCAGTTGTACTCTTATATTTGCATACTGGTATGTTAGTTCTAATGGATGCTATATTTTTTTTTTCAGTCGAGATTGCCCAATATTTTATCGAAGGAAGAAAGCACAGAAAGACATGGCTGAAGCCAAGCTTCAATTAGATCGATGGAACTTCTGATCCACTACGAAGGTTGTTTGGCACTGTGAAACGGTAGATGCCTGTTGTAGAGTTCCAGATTTTTTCAACTGTGCCTATGGAATCTGAATGTATCCCACTGGTCGAAAAGCAGTTAGATTACTAGGGACAGGTAATATTTCACCTCGTGGATGGTTGGTGCTGGGCTGATGGCTCTTAATGCCTCAACACCACTTCAAGTGAATGTATTTTGACGGTAAAATGCAATGTATAATGATTAAAAGACCGGTGAAGGTCAGCAGTTATGGATTTCCAGGATCCAGCAGCTGGTGTTTGATGGGGTGGATCATCATGTAGTCAGAGAGTAAAGATCCAGTTTCTGGTGTAGCAACAAGTTTCAGGGTAGCAAGTTTGTTTTTTGAAGATGTGTCAGGTTTTGGGTTGAGTTGGTACCCGTTCTTAAAACAGATTCGACGAATGTAATTTATAATGCTTTCTTTCTTTTCGTAGCTCAACTCTTGTGAAACAAAATTCTAACAAGTAAAATTTCATTTAGAATGTTGCCAAAGCTGTTATACAAAGTATCTCAAATGTCTCTCATGCGCGGGGTACAAACACTCGTACAGTATGCTTTAAACATATAATTGTGATTCTATACATCTTTGTAGAACTAGTCTTGTTGAACAAAGTAAAATATATATGGCAATAACACAAATAGAAGCATTAAGCCTCCAATTACAAAGGAATTTTTCCTCTAGGATTCAACTCAAACTGGTTGAGCTTTGTTTACAGCTTCAAGCTGCAACCTCGACCTAGTCAAGAATATAGTCTTAGTCGAGTTGTTATGGGCTGCCGGCACAAAGGGCATGATGGTAAGGAGACGCCACAATCCTTGCATGTCTGAAATTTTATAGTAAAATTAAATGATGAAGAGAGTAGCATATGATACAACATGCTTAGAAACTAAATGTTAACTTACATTTCATTTTTATTTCATCAATGCCTCAATTTTACTAGTATAAAGCACAGATAGTCTTATATTTCAATGGTGGGACATAATCCGAATGTAGGTCAGATATGATTTACATAAAAACTTGAAGGGATTGGAGAAATTATAAACTTTTATATCTATAAATTACAAAGAGAAATTCTTTATAGGATTTACATAAACTTGTGCTACAAACAGTCTCAAAAAATCAGAAGAATATTACGAAGAATATTGTGGAAATATTATAATATCGTAAACAAACCCATATGAAGAAAAGAAAATATATTTCCTACACAATGACTCAAAATTTTCGGCAATTCAAGAACATGGTATAGACGCTAAAATTTGGGTAACAGGTTGGAGAAGTTTACCAGATGACCGCATCCAAAAGCCATGTCCTTGGGATTTGTCAAACAGATTGGGCATACCTTGACATGAAAATGGAATTTTCAAAGCCAGGAATACAATCAACATGATAAGGGTCTAACTGAGGATGAAAGATCACTTACTTGCTCGGCTGATGGTCCTGACTCAACTGGTTCAGAGCTTGCTGCATATGGGAGTGCTTTACTGGCATTATCTTGATCTATAACTTCCTTTGGAGGAGGAAGTGGCCTTGTAGGAGGACCTACATTGTATTTACTGTACAAAACAGATAGATACAAATTCCCACTTCGTCATTATGGTATATTAAAGTAGTAGACAGGGTATAAAGCAGATGAGGAACCAACTTTCAGAACAATTAACTCTAGGATCCAAAGATAAGCTGCATAATTAGAGGGATGGCATCATAAGTACTAATGGGAATTCCTAGCAACTTGTAACTATGGGAAGGACCTGGTCTCAACTTCTTATATTTATTAACATAAGAAAGGGTTATAAAGGGGAAAGAGAATCGACACAAGTAGAATCCAATAGCACCAATGATAAACTCAAAGCACCAACCTTAATGGCAAAAGTTTTGGAGTGATGACACCTTAAGCACTAGTGGTTTCAATATAAGTTCAAGAAAACAGAACTTCTTGGCCTTACCCTTTAGGTTGTAGCTGTAATGTCGCTTTATATTGCAAAGGAATCTCCATGAGAGAAGCAAGTGCAAAAGCTGCTTCTTTTTTTGCCATATCTGTGTGCTCAGACATGATTTTCATGAAGTTCACAAACTGCAAGGCACCATGTAGTAATATTAAAACTTAGAAAAAAAATAGAGTACGCTAATGGCATTCACCGTCTCATGGAAGAGTCGAGCCTGAAAAATTCAACCAAATTTCATGATGAATCAATAGTCACCCGCTTTGGATTAGGAAAAGAAGTTTCCAAATTAGATTGTGATGAAGCAGTAAGAACTCCAGATGTGAAGTATATTGTAAAGTTCGATTTTTTTCCAAAAAAATTACTACACTAAGAAATTACTCAAAAGTTAAAAATTTATAAGATAATTTCCCGTGTTAGTGGCATTATATCAAAACAAAACTGAACTCAGCAATTTGACATGTCTACATGAGTATTACTAGGAAAGACAGTTAACTGACACAGATGAACTCCATATATAAGAAAATTTTAAGGAATAATTCTGCACCTGGAAATTGTCAAATGCACGTTGAGTAATGTTGTCATCAAAATCTTGCATAGCATCCCAAGGTCCATCCCCCACACCAACAAGAATAATTGAGAGTGGATATTCACTGTATATTACATGCCACGTATTACATCAGAGTCGAGGACCATGACATCGATAACCGCACTTATTGAAACCTTTTTACCTTGCAGAAACTATAGAATTGATGGTTGCTTGCTCTTGTGGACTAAACCTTCCAGGTGGTGTATCAGAACTTCTAGTGACCTAAATCCACATTCCAAGATAAATAAAAGTAAAAATTCAGAAAATAGTTTTCTGGTGAGAGGAAACTTCAAACAGAAGTTCATAAATAATGGCTAAAAGGGATATAAGAACCTGTCCATCTGCTATGATAACGAGGACATGATACTGCCAGTTGCTTTTTTCCACGATTTCAACTGCAGCATCAACTATTGGGGCAAATGAGGTTGGACCTACCAAATTAATGAGAGAGAAAAATAAATAAAAAATAATAATTATTAGGAGCATTTCTGAACTACCTTTTCCATCAAGAACATAGGAGAAACCTGAAAGAACAAAACAAAGCCCTATGTTCTAGTCTGACAATGATCTTTCTTTTCTTTTTAGTTCTCAACTAGAATTTCAGTTCTAAATGGTACCTTTGAAAGTGACATGCATGTTAAGTATATCGATCTACTTGGCCTACAAAGAAATTAGTTAGAAAAATGCAGAGGCAAACCTATTAGCTTTCACCAAATGGAGATGAATCTTTTTACCAATGCCAATTGCATTCTAGCAATCTCATAACCATTTCAAAGAGATTTTACCAAACAAAAATAGATGGAATGAGAATCAAGACCAAAACCTGATAAGTGCAGATATGGAACAATTTCTTTATATCGTCTAAGAGCTTCCTCAAATCCATGGCAAGGCCGATGGTCAGCATAAAAGCTGAATACATGCTGATCGTGTGTTGTGGCTGGAGGGAGGAAAATTATCAGACTGCATATGTAAATTGGATCATAAAAATTATGATATGATAAAGTGAAGACTAACCATCACCGAATCCAAAACAAGGTATTAAATTGTCCTCATCAAAAGGAGATAAAGTTCGTCCAATGATAGAAATGGCTTGCTCATATGGATTGGGCGTGTTGCCAATTGCATGGAGGCTTCTCCTGTGGAATGACAACTTTCCTACAACCACGGATAAGTCAGATGATCCAGGGTGATTAGTTCATAGGACTTATTAAGCAATGTTTTTTTATTCACCTGTCCATTCATTGCTCTTGGTAAAATCAATACCAATAATTAAATTGGATGATTCCAGGCCTGCTCCTCTTAATGCATTGGTAACCTGGCAACACAATAATCAGGAAACTTGATGAAATAGATCCAAAGTTAGCAACAACTTAAGAATAAATGTGAGTTTCTAAAATGATTCTTTTAGCCCCTCTTTAGTTTGTATCACTAAAGTACCTTTAAAACAGGGAAATTTTGTCAAGTGGTGCTTGACACAAAGTCGAACACCACTTAATACAACATCCAGTGGATTGATTTCATGTAAAGTGTCACTTGTATAGTATTTGAGCAAAGTTCCAAAATTTTGGTCTGAATAATTTGATTTGAGTATAAAACGAAAATAATACATTTATTATTATTTATTTATCATCAATTCTTCCTTTTATCAAATTTACATGACCCAAATCATTGTGCTTAGGAGAAAAGACCATTTTTATAAGGTACTTCATCAAACAATTATTGGAGGATATATGGATAAATGACCCAAATAAAGAGCCATAATTCCAAAATAACCTTTGACTTTTCCAAAAAATTGAAACTACCTAAAATACCCCTAAATATAATATTTATTAAACTATGAAAAGAATACAATCAAGTCCTAAGGAATTAGATTGCTATAAAATGACCTACAAGAAACCAAGATCTAAAAGAGGACCATACAAGATTAAGAAACTTGCTAAAGATAAAAAGGAAATTGAATTTAAAAATGAATTTGATAAAATTGGATATCAAGAACAATTAATTGCATCACAAAAAATATTAAAATGTTTTAAAGAAAATATGATAGAANTCCCACTAATCAAGTATCCTGAATAGAAGCAATGTTTTTTTATTCACCTGTCCATTCATTGCTCTTCGTAAAATCAATACCAATAATTAAATTGGATGATTCCAGGCCTGCTCCTCTTAATGCATTGGTAACCTGGCAACACAATAATCAGGAAACTTGATGAAATAGATCCAAAGTTAGCAACAATTTAAGAATAAATGTGAGTTTCTAAAATGAATTTTTTAGCCCCTCTTTAGTTTGTATCACTAAAGTACCTTTAAAACAGGGAAATTTTGTCAAGTAGTGCTTGACACAAAGTCGAACACCACTTAATACAACATCCAGTGGATTGATTTCATGTAAAGTGTCACTTGTATAGTATTTGAGCAAAGTTCCAAAATTTTGGT